ATAATGGTGGAGGTATTGTTTTCCTAAATGCACTTTTACCGTTTGCTCTAACCTTTTTACATTATCAAAATTTTTCCTTTTTCTTTTTGACACTTTGCATATTATTTTCGCTGCAACCGTCACACTGACGAGGTCCAGCTGCAGCACTGAACAAGAATGTATGCGACTTGATGGACCGAAACATTCCTATTCAGGTTTTTGTTCCGATTTATCTTATTCACCTTCCTTTTACTCCTTTACTTTTAAACCCCTACTTTTCAAATAAACACACATCATCTAAAATTAAAATTACAATAGCTGCTGAATTCTTCCAATTCAATATACCCCATCTAAACTAACGAACCTGAGACTCGACAAGCATAGCCATATCCATGAACATGTCGTGCAACTCGCGTATGCTCGATTCTAACTTCATAATATCATTATGGCGCGCTTCGATATCGGCTAACGTTTGCCTTGCTTGCTGCGTGTCTGTGATGATACCCTGTGTGAAAACACCCGGATTCCCTGATTCAATCATCTCTTCCAGATCCTGCAAAACACCAGCATTTTTTCAAGGCAAACTTTGCAGGAATACTCTCTGTGCACGTAATGAATTACTGCAATATTAACCTTCTTCAACACCTGCCCCGAAAATGTACGGAATCTAAAATCACTACTTTCTTCCACCGTAATATACATGCCCTTCTGCTCATTCAGAGTGAAGAGCAGAGTAGTGTAGTAGCAAAGTCAGAATTGCTGCTAGATGATTCATTTTTTGGGAGGAAATAGACCCAATTTTTATTTTTAAACTCGCTTTTTATAATTTATTTAAAAACCAGGTAATCTCCAAATGTCACCACCTTTCGTAAGATGTAAATGCGGAGGGGATTTAACTTGCTCGATTTCATATTGTCAACAGTTTTACGAACAAAACCAAAAAATAAAAAAAAAAAAAAATCAAGCTCGGTCAAAATTTGACTTATATATTTTGGCTTGACAAAATTTGACCTATAGAAGTTAGAGTTTTTGTCTGGGAAGCCGCTCGACTAGTAATCCCTTCAGGAGATGAAACAAACCTCAGTATCGCCAGCAGGCTGACAGCCACTGGTCAAGAGTTTTCAAAAGTTACCAGACGCACAGATTATGAACAGATCCCTTAGATATAAAACAAACATGTTAATGCGGCCTACGTAGAACTCTCGAGAAAATCTCTTCCACACCCTCGATTGTAAGTGTAAAATCTCTTCCACCACGTTCATCAAGTCATCACGTTATTCTCATTATTCCCTTATTCGAATCAGTAGTCCTGATTTAGTTCATACGGTACCGCTGCTGCACGATACAGTACACTGAATACAGTACTCTTTTGCTCTTAAGTGTTATGGTAATGGAATCTAACTTATTTTATGAGCAAGGAGGAATCACTGAGAAAAAGGCATAAAACTGAAGACAACACGGGCTGTTTTTGTCCCACAGCAGTTTTTTGTCCTGAATTATCCAGACCGTCCAAACTATCAGTATAGGGCACTCCCTGCTAATGACTTTAAGCTATACAGCTGGAATAAACCCCCCGCCATGCGCTACTTTCCGTAATCTGTACTTGTAGTCACATGCGCGGATGCCATTACCCATGCGGTTTTATTCTCCTTCATAGATAAAATTGGTGCAAGAAGTTTACAAGATTTTACAGACATGGTTTTTCACGAATAACTTTTATAATTGTCCGTCAAAGTAGGGATGAATCTCTACTTATGTGGCAAGAAAGAGGAGAGATGAACAGGGCGGATTATTGAATGGTACCCATGCAATGTTAAATGAAAAGCGTAAGGAGAGCTACTAGTGCAGTGGAAAAATTTGCTTGAATGTCTAAATGAAACTGTTCGGACGAAAAAAGTCCAAGATACGGAAGAATGGAGGAGTTGCCAGCTGCATTAGAGGTCAGAATTGCAACGATGAAAAGCAAATAAATGAAGTATCACGGTAATCTTTCTGCTTAATTTCCTATCTCTGAATAGTTATCGCCTTTATGCTCCCCTGGTTTAACAGGCATCTTTCCAATACTGCTACCTGCGAGCAATTTTTTCACTTTTCAAAGCCATCTATGAAAAAATCCTCTGTTAAAAGCACGATTTTCATTGATTTTGACAATAACTCAACTGGGTACCTCATCGCCGACTTGTTTGCCAGCAATGTCCAGCTGCCTTTGAATGCGGCCCTTACAGCGTTCTCGGTAATCAGTCTGTGTTTTATTGTAATCAGTCATCACTTCCACGAATTTCCGGGACAGTGTGGAGTGCTGTGTTTTGCGGATACGCAAATCAGCCGAAGACATGCCACCGCTTTCGTCATGCTCAATGCTGTTTTCGATTACTGAAAGAAATAAAAAAAAAATAATAATAATAACAACATATGGTTAGTTATTTTTTCCCTCACGAACTTGTCGAGGGGGATGGAAATGCTCTTTGGCACAGTGATGACAGATTGAGTTTAATCAATGTTAATCGATCCGGACACATTTCTCATTATCCTGACATTCCGTCCGTCTCCCTCACCCATTCTGCTGCTGCTATCTAAATGCCCTTTTGGTGGTATGTTATCCATCGAACTATGCAATTTCGTTGTGTAAATTCCATTAACACCTCTCAGTTGCCTTTTTTTTTTTTTTGCAAATATACATAAAAGCCTTTCCCTGTTCTTCAGTTGCTGCATCTCATGGAAAATGAATTTCAGGATATTCATCGGGACACATATCACGCACAACTAACAATGCAAGGCGCACAACCGAGACAATTTCTTCATGTTCAGATTTCTGATTACTCAAATCTCTGCAAGGGACAGAGGAGCAAAGCGCCGATACTACTAAAAAGGTGGCTTATTTTTTTAAAGGCTTATTTTTTATTTTTTTAAAATAAGCCTCCTTTTTAGTAGTACCGGGTGTTTTTTTTTTATTTTTTTTTAAAAGAAAGTTTAAAAAGGAGGCCCTTTTCTTTCGAAAAGGTTAGGCCAATTCCCTTCCCTCTCTGAATAAGTCTGCAAAATTTAATCTTAGAAATGATATGTAAACATAAAACGAAGTCTGTTGAAATCTAGAAATTACAGTACTCTATCTCATATTCGATGCTAGCAAACGCAATAAAAAATTCATATGGGAATCAAAATATAATGCATGAGCAGCGTAGAAAAACCTTCTGGTTCATCAATCATGGGAGAGAAGGGCCGGAGACAAACAGATGAATTCACTACAGGCCATAACCTACATTTCAGTTTTCCACGAACTTTGTTTGCTGTCTTCTTGATACTCGCCATCAATTCATCCAATTCCTCTTTCGTTTCTGCAAAATTCGCAACATTTTTAAAATTGCTTCCCACAAATTACACTTTTGCACGTCGTAGCTTTTTACCACTGAAGCAGCTGGCAACATCTCCATTCTTCTCTATTTTTGGCCTCTTTCACCCAGTCGTAAACTACACACTCATTTTTTGGAAAAGAGTCTTTAGCAGCAACAATATTGCTTGTAACCGTCTAGGGATTTGCTTGCTAAAAACTTATTTCAGCTCGATTATTGGTTTAAAATGCATGCAAAAAAGTAAGTTGGCTGAGGAGATATACAAAATATAAATTCAAAATAAGCTCCAATATCAGTTAATCTTTGTACATAATACTAACGATTCCCACTCCTACCCACATGCATAGTCCGGTCTGTGTTTACAGCTAAGGGATGAAACACTGGCTGCATCGTAAAATGTCTTCTTATACATGACACCTAAGTCCAGTGCTTTTATTCTACTTATACACTAGCATAAATCCTGCCAATCCCTCAACAATGCTGCAGTGCTGTCTAAAATTTTGAGGCCTGTCACAGAAAAAAATCAAGACAATTAAGAACTCAAAAACGAATTTGGGCCGGAGAAACAAAACTAATTCAGCTGGATTGTCTTAAATTCATCGTTGAGTTGTGGTATGTTAGCCACAGATATTAAAGCTTTTATTTCTAAAAGATTGAATACGACTGGAGTCTGGCATGTCACCTGTAGATTTTACAACTTCTATTACTGGAAGGCTGACTTTGACTGGAAATAAGAAATACTTTGCTAATCCAGAAGCAACTGCAGAATTATTCATTTACAACGCTGCGTACTGCCAACAAATTCGACTTTTTGAACTCGTTTTTTTTTAGAGTAAGCAGCAAGAATGGCAGTAAAAAAATTAGAAAAAAAGAAATTTAGAAAAAAAAAATCTTTCAAAAAGCTTTTTGTAAAAAAAAAGAAAAATTTAATGGTTTTTTGAAGAACATACTAGGGTCGTTGACGGGGTTGGATAGAATCGCCGAATGCTTTTTCTTAACTTCTTCCACATTC